GATTTTCCTTTCTTTTCTATCTTACAAGAGACACGGACAATATCAAGCACATGAGCTCATCCACGAGAATTTGTCCCATTTTACTGCTCGCCCCTTCCTCTTCTATCTTGTGCTTTTTCTACATCTCCGCACCGTTCAGGCCGAACGAAAGCGCTAAAAATACGAATTTATATGCGCGATCATGTTGTACATGTGCCTCTTTCTGAGAAAAAAAAAGAGAGGGGAGAAATGCGAGATAATTTTAAATGTCAGATCTACGATTTCGACGATGGAAGAAAGAAAACATGATGAATTCATATACACGAATCAAAAGGCAAAATAATTTTGACATGGAAAAATTATTGATGAGAATTTTAATAGAAATTTTCAGTTTGAAAGAAATATGATTTGGTAAGATTTAATAAAAAAAAATCAAATAAACTTCTCAAATTTATAATTTTAATAGAATCTAATTTAAAACGCTTTGTATTATTTTTCTTATGAAATTTGGTTCATCAAGATTTCAATAATATAATAAGTAATACAATGCATGTTTCAGTAATGTGATCATCACGTGCATTATTTTTGTTTAATTGCGTTTGGTAAAACGACTTAATAGCACGTCTGATACGTGTTATCTAACGTCAAACCACAATCGTGAAATAACAGTTTAATGAGCAGATTGTAACGTTTCGTTTAAAGAGTTTAAGTAAGGCGTTAAGATAGGTCGGAATTTATTTGTTATGTACAATTGGAAATGATCGAATTTAGAGATTATAGGAGTAGAAACTTGACAAGATTTATAGTTGATCTTGTATTTTAAAGTGTTACAAATCTTATATTTTAAGACTTGAAGTCATTTGAGAATGATTGTATTGTTTGAAATAAACGAAAATTATTTTAATAAGTTTATAATAAGTATTTCTTTATAAAGATTAAAGCTGTCGCGTAATTGCGTAATTATATATTTTTAATTATAAAATAGAATCTTATTTTAAATTTCATTTTATCTTATTCTTATCAAGAGTTAATCATAAATTTTACAACGAACGATCATTACACGTTTCTAATTCGATAATGATCATTTAATTTCTAAAAAGTGAAATACTAATCACTTATTTTAATGATTTTAATAATTTAATTTAATAATTTCTCTCGAAATCTTTAAAATATCATGTTTGTATCATTAAATAAGTTGAAAAATTATAATCAGAGGTTCTTTTTCTAAATAATTTGAAAATAAAAAATATGTATAATCTTCCTCTTATAACTTACAGTATCTCACGTTCTGTTTGAACAAACACAATGTATCCAATAATATTTTTCATTTCAACATGACTGCATTTTACCAACGATGCAACCAACGATAGAGTACAAGTTACGCGTATGGCGATCCGAAAAATACGAGGAGATTAATCGTCTTTTGTCGTTCTAAAACGCCATCATTTTACGATGCAATCTTCTTTTTATTTCTTCAAGAAACATTATGTTTAAACCGTATCAGTGTTCAAATCGTATTTCTTTAAAATTTATCGCACGTCCATGTCCATGATTTCCATTATCGTTCCATTAAGCCGCTAATAAAACGTCAAAGCCGCGTTATTTACAACTAATAACATAATTCCCTGTTCGCACTCTATCGTACCATTTATTTTCCTTCTCTTTTTCCATTTCTTTTCACCTGATTCGATTCGCTTCTTCTTCGAGTTTTTTGCCCTCACCACTGATCGTCTAACCATTACGGCCAACAGTTAAATTATCCTTCCTATTACAATTAAATTATCCTTCGCAAGAAACGTATAATTTCACAATACATTAAGTGTGCATCGATCGTACTATGCACAGTGTTTGAGCAGCATGAATTAATAAACCGATCGAGTTGAAATTTGTAGACCTCGAGTTTGGTTTTTGTCATGAGCTCGGTATGATAACGATTTGAAACTCGAAAGATCGATCTGTTTTAGATCTTTCTCATGTCATCAATGAGAATAACATCATGGTTGGATAATAATAGGGATACAGAGTACACGTGAAATATTCGAGTCGAATTATATCCGAATGCTCTCAGCACTATTTAGAACAGCTGACTCATATCGTGTTAAGATACAAGAATCACCTATTAGCAATACCTTTCTACGAGAGTCCATTGTGATCTACATTATTATAGTCTCGAAGAATTTTTCGTTCAGGGTTGCTTTTCCCACTCAATGAAGCAAAATATAAGAATTGTATTTAATGTACTATTTCAATCCTTTTTTTTACAAGTGTTATCAAGAAAGATAATAAATTTTAGAAATTACCAGCATTTTTTTTTTAAATGTATTAAGATAGATAAACGTTCTAAATCTTATATTTTGATTGTAAATTTTTCATATGAAAGTGTATTCATTAAATGAATAGTAGTATATTTTTTAAAATATTATATTAACAATTTATTACATGAGAATCTTACGGCATTGTAATGCTATGTCTTTATTACAATATACATGAGGAAAATATATGTATATACGATCTGAAACATTTAAAAATTTTTTCTCAGACTGTATCACGACCACGTGAAAGGGGGACAAAAGCTCATAATAACTAGCTCTGTCCATGCAAAACGTAGCTGTACAGTCTGGAGCTAAGAGCACTGTACTTTTGACGCTTCAAGTGACAGAGCATGATGTGCATGCTGATCACGTATGCTTGCTAACAGCATCGAATACATACACACGAGCTTTTCACATGTACACATGCAACGTGTGTACCTTTTAATTGACCTCGGTTCCTAGCGATTTTTTCTCTTGTCCTTGTTTATCGGTAGTTACAACCCTTCGTCTAAATCATTGCCAAAATGCAAGCTATGCATCCATTAAAACTTGATTTATTATATCCACGACGAAGATTGCGTCGTTTTTCGCGCTAACTTCGCTAATTATCCGCTCGGTGGATAGTTTTTCGTGCGGAAGAAGAAGGGTGCATAAAATTAGAAACTCTGGGAATTCGCGAGTTTCGCTCGTTTCGAGCCACTTGCGAGAAGTTTTACGTGCTTTCGACATTCATTTTAATTTAGGTGTGTTAATGATAATTGAAAATAGTACTTCGTTCCTATTTTTCTATTTTGAACGATGGATATTGCAGCTATTAATAAAATTTATTAATCTTCCGTAATTGGAATTTTATTTGTTTATGAGAAAAGTGATAGTGGTTAAATATAGTTTTATTATATTTTGTTTTATTATAATTTGTTATTTTGAAGCATTTGATAACGATAATAATATTATCTATTCTGACTTTAATATATTAAAAATTCGCATAATATGCTAATTTTATTTCATTACATGACTCTTGAAGATTATTAATATTAACGAATAAATAAAAGAAAATAAAATTACAATCATCAATTAATAAACCCCATTAATTACTTTTGATTTTTAAAAAAATTAAATCAAGACGAAAATAATTTTCAAAATAGAAAGTTATTTAGTTAATTCATAAAATATACATTTCCATACACATTCATGTTTCTATGCGGCCAGCTGATATGCTTTCATCGAGTCTTCATCCTGTATTCGCGTGCTTACTAAAAGAAAAAGGAGCGCATGTAAACATTTGGCGATAAATAGAATGAATGTATGGGTTCTTTCAACGAGAAATGAATGAAAGTATATCGTATCGTATGATTCAGGTGATATTCGAAAGAATATTTTAAAAGGGCCACGTAAGAACGTGAACGTTTACTGCCAATAAAAGCAGCATATTCCACGCGTGTATATACGCTTGGCTAAATTTACTTACGTGGGAAACTGGTTTCCCGCCTATGCGTTCGTTTCACACCTCGAATCGCGAATTTTTTCTCCACGAATATCTTTAACGAAAGATTCGATTAATGCGTGTCAGATACACGATCGAAATTCGAAATTATCATGAATTTTTCTTCTTGAGTGATTATCTTTATTGAAATATGTGATCAATTGATATTGAAATTCCAGATTTTTTATAAAATCGTAGAATGTACAATATCTAATTGGATTTAAAGTTCACACAAAGCAATGATAACGAAACAGCGCAATTGTCGATGACGTAATGACATAAAGAATGAACTACTTACTTAAATTGTGGCGAATATTATCGCGAACGTTTTCTCGCGATCTTCGTTATCAGTGTCGTTAAATATTGTGTCATAATTATTCTTGTACTCGACAGGGTGATCGATTATTTAACATAGTATCGAAAGAGATTGATTTTGAATTGCAAATTTAATAACGATCATTTTCATATTTTTCGAGATTATATAGATATGATATAAAATTAATAAAATAATGAATATTTTTGATTTTTAATTGTTAGAGTATTTTTGATATTAATAAAATAGAAAATCTCAATTATAGATTCTTAATTCTAAAGTTAAAAGATTTTTTTTATTGAATATTGAATTTTTTCATGCAATTAGATTCAATATAATTCTTTCGTGTAATCGCATGAAACTTTATCTCGAAAGACTTTGAGAGGTTAAACTTCATAAAAGAAACGAAGAATACGATCTTGAAAATAGGCACGTTTCAAAGATTAATGGTGACAATCGTAGATGGTATTTCTGAAAGATAAAAAATATAGGAAAGCATGCATTCGTTTCTATATTCGTTCTATTTCTATATACACATATATTAATACTCGAATTTGTATTAAATATTGAAAAAGAATCTACATTTCTATTGGTAAAAAATCAATATAAAAAAAATGAATCGTTAAATTTTGATATTCTTTTATCAAAATTGAACAACTGAAATATCAGAAATATTGAAAACAAAATTTCTGATGTACGAGCTTTAGTGTCTTTTCAAATCGAAACAAGGGATGAGATGTAAAATTATTACATACCAAATTATATATTAATTATTTGGTACACACTAAAATTATTATACACTATACGAATTTTAAAATATCATAAATTCATATCGTTAAAATATCAAATCTTAATAACAGATTATATATATTTTACAATAAAGTTATCAAAATTTTTCTCGTTTTCTTTTCAGACGAACAAGAACGCGTTCAAAAGAAGACCTTCGTCAACTGGATCAATTCTTATCTTTCCAAGGTAAGAAAAATTAGAAGAAAACTTCGAGTGAAACTCGTGGAAATATATACGTATTTTGAAACCAGGTAACAGGGTAAACGACCTTTGAATCTTTCCACCATTTTTCTTTCGTGATCAATCCATCTTTAAATATCTCTCATACAGAAAATGTTACGCAAGCTTTTTTTCCTTCTTCCTTTTTTATCGTCCCTTCTATATAATAAGGCAACATTGAAATTACTTCTCATCACGAATATCAAAAGTTCGGTGGAATAACTCGTGCCTGGCTCGCGAGTCTCGATACCTCTCCCCTACTTCCGCACTTCCGGATACTTGGAAACTTGAATTAGAAATCCCGGACCTGTTTCCTCGAAACGTGCTCTACAAGCTGCACGACATTGCGTTCAAGAGCATTAAATCTTGCTAAATTTCTCATGAAATTTAAAAAAGATTTAAAAAATCTTGAAACGTGATATTTATTTTAAAAATTTCATCATCGATTAATTCGCTTAGACCTCTATAATTCTCTAAAATTTTTTAATAATAGTAAATAATTTTACGATTATATTTATATTTTATATTTTATAATCTCAAAGATTTTTCTTTGAGAATAAAATATGAAAAACGTAATATGAATAATTGGAACAATTTTTAGAGAAGTCCACCGCTTCGAGTGGATGATTTAATCGAGGATCTCAAGGATGGCACCCGCCTACTCGCATTGCTTGAAGTTCTATCCGGTGAGAAGTTGGTAAGTTTGGCATAACAGCTTCTGTATCGCAACTATCGATCAATAGAATAGATACGTATGAAACGCATTTCTTTGTTCGCAGCCGGTGGAAAGGGGTCGTAACTTGAAAAGACCTCATTTTCTTAGCAACGCGAACACTGCGCTTCAATTCTTACAAAGCAAAAAAGTGAGTAACGATTCCTCTCAAAATAGAAATTTAGAATCACGAGAATTGGAAAAATTCATTCACATTAAATTTTAATAATTTTTTCTTAAATCTTAAATTCAAAAATTCATTTTCGGAGTTTACATTCACGATTTCAAAAATTTAAGTTTAAAATTTCGAAAATTCAAAATATAGAATACATTAGTAATTATTATTCATGATTGTTTATTGCAGATCAAGCTAGTGAACATAAATTCGTCCGATTTAGTAGATGGACGACCGCCCGTAGTGTTAGGCTTGATATGGACTATCATCTTATACTTCCAGGTAGACTCTCTTTCGTTCGTACAATCGAATACAAATCGAAGCTACATAAAAAAGCACAATTGTACAATTAGAATGCGGTAGTTGCTTAAGTAAGACGCTCGTGCCACATCAAATTACATAAACGCGTTATAATATCCGTGCAGCATTGCGACGATCGTTTGCAGCGGGGATTAATTTGCTCGTATAACAAAGTTGTTCAATTTCTTCATAAAATTTTTTACAAAAATTCACAAACATTCTATATACAAATATAGTTTTTTTCTTCTTTTTTTTTTTATATCTTAATAATTTTCCTTCCCGTTAAAAAAGAAATTAATCCTCGTTAAGAGCGAAAGAAGAAAGAAAGTTACATTGCATTCTGCTAACCGTATTTATTCCATAAAAACAAGCTACGATCCAAGGATCGAAAAAAGGTGAGTAGCTATTTAAAAAAAGAAAAAAAAAAAAGAAACGAGTAAAAGAAAAGAGATTATCATCTACGATGTTAATAAAAACAGTAAAGCAGTAGAGAAAATATATGTGTGTACAAAGGAAAGTGTTAAATTAGCACGCACCTACATGATCTTACGCATCACCCTAGTACGCACGCTAATCCTTCCTTTTGTGAGTCTTTTTTGTTTTCAACCTTACCTCCCCCCTCCCCCCATACGCCCTATTGTTGTTTGAATATCATATTCCGCGGTCCACTGATCCGGTATTTTTCTAGATCGAGGAGAATACCAGAGCATTGGAATATCTTGGACAAACGTGGGGTAGTCAGAGCAGCTTGGAGAGCCTGAGTACCCAGGGGTCGGCGACCAGCGAGAGAAAACGCATCAGTAGCGAGAAATGGAAGCAGGGAGCGAGAAAGACTCTGCTTCAATGGGTCACCAATGCTCTGCCAAAGTTAGTGTTCTATACACGTTATTATATTTATATAATGTAGCTTATATTTATAACTATAATATTTACGTTTAACGTATTTTCGCATCAACCATGTAAAAATAATACCGACCACGCGAAAGTACATTCCTTTTCAAAAATCTTTGCATATCTTGTTACAAAGATTTAATGTAGATTTTTAATTTTAGATTGGTGCATGTTTTTTAATTAAATTGTTGATACATAGAAATTATAAAAAGTATTTGCATTATATTTATTGTAGTATATTTACATTTTAATTAATTAAGTAATTAAATAAATATATTAGATTTCATCTCGTTTGGTACTTTCATATGATTATAAAAAATTGATTTTATAATCAAATGTAATATATTAAAGATGCTTCATTAAAACTGTAATAAATATAATTTATTCCAAATTTATTTCTAATTTATTCCAAAGACATTCACAAGCATTGAAACAAGAATCAATATTAAAATATTAATGTTTAATTACAAATTTCATTTACAAAACGGATCAAATCTTCACAGGGACATAAAAGTACGAGACTTCGGTGAAAGCTGGCGCGATGGCAACGCCTTCCTGGCCATCATCGACGCGATCAAAGCGAATTTGGTGAACATCGCCGCCATGAGAGAAGCAACGAACAGAACACGTCTAGCGACCGCGTTCCACGTGGCCGAATCCGAATTGGGTATCGCCAAACTCCTCGATCCCGAGGATGTCGACGTTCCTCAGCCGGACGAGAAATCGATAATGACTTACGTTGCCCAATTTTTGCACAAATATCCGGAACCAGGATCCGCAGCTTCCGATTCGTTCGCGGCTGTGCAACAAGAGTACGATGGTCTGCTCGCTTGGCTTTACGAACGACTCAAATACTTGGAACAGATGGGCACTTCCCCGTTGGGTTATGATGTATGTTTTAATAATATTAGAATTATTTTAATATGGTAGAACGCTTGTTTTAACGTTTCTTTTGTTCGAAATTCGTTTTCGAAGGAATACGCCGCGGTAAAAGCGGAAGTCGAGCAACAGAGAATTGTGTATAATAAGCTGCAACGTCTTGTCGAAACTCCTAGCATGATCAGCATCACTCGAGATTCTTGGAGACACGTGCAGAATCTATGGAAGACCTTGGAAATGCTTGTAAGTTAGAACTAATAACTTAACATTTTCATATATGCTTTCATATATGCTGTCAATTAGTAATTCTCGAATTGAAATGTAAATAATATTCATATATATGCGAATAATAAGAAACTGATCATAATAATTATCATAAAGTATAGAGTGGATTTAAATTTTCATTTCATCGATATATTCAGAATGTACATACATATATATATAGTTTATATAATAATGTATTTTATTAGAAATAATTCTTGAAACATTATTATTTTCAATTAATTTATCAATATTTAATCTCTAAATAGAATTCATACATAAGAAAATTCTCTTTCTAGATGTTACGCTGGCTTTGGGTCTTAGATTCCTACTTACCAGGCGAATTAAGCGTTGTAGGCAGATGGTTGTGTCGTGCAGAAGATCTTCTATTATCCGACAACAACATCCCAGAAGAAATGACAGAAGAAACAGCCAACATAATATCGAATAAGCTCGAAGAACACAAGAAGTTCTTCCTCGATCTTCCGTCCATGACGGAGCGATTCCAAGCGGCGAGAGGTTCCGAGGCTGCATTGAAAGTGCATCCTCAACAACTGAACGAGATGGCAGCTCGATTGGACAGCTTGCCGGATCGTGCCGCCAAACGTAGAATCCGACTCAAGTTTCTGGAGCACAAATGTTGCCTTATTGCTTTCTTGTTCCTAGTCGAGACGAAGTTGAAGGGATGGAGCGTGAAATATGGCACGGAAGAGAGTGTACATCAGATGTTGGAGCAGTATAGAAACTTCGTGTCTCGAAATAGAATTTTCCAGGAATTCCAGAAAGCGTATTTGGACATGCAACAAATCGTCGAGGATTATAAACGCGAAGGCAATGTTGGTAAGTGATAGTTATTTTATATGATTTAGGTTGTTAGGGATTGCTTAGTGTAACGATTTATCAATTTCATTAATATGAAAAAAGTTGTATTTACTATAAAAAATTTATTATTTAAAATTGCTAATACTTAATGAATATTTTTCTATCAATTTTTAATACTTAATTTTAATACTTAATGAATTTTCTATCAATCTTATTAATATAAAAAAGAGTGTAAAAGAATTCAATAAAATGAAGGAATATGAAGTACATTATAACTTTTTAGTATATAAAAATCTTTTATTCATTAGACCAAGAAGAAAGCGCGAATATTGACCGTTTCATGAGAGAGACCAGCGACAAATGGAAGAGCGTATCCATGGATCTTCGTTGCGTGCAAAGCATGCTCGAGGAAGTAGTAGCCTATTGGCGTCGATGGAACGTCATCTCCGACGAGTTCGTAACTTGGTTGAATCGCGCTGAACCTGCCTTGCACCTTCCCGAAGAAGATAAAATGGAATTCTTCCAAGACATAAGCGTATGGAAGGATAAACACCAACAACTATCCGACACAGTGACATTTTTAATTGCCACATCTGACGAATCAGTCGCCTTGCAACTGAAACAACGTTATTCGAATCTCACGTCCAGATGGGAATCTCTGTTCCAAGAAGCGAAGCAATATATGCACGCTGGAGACGTTATAAGAAATAGAAAAGATTATAGAGCAGGAGTGGAGACATTGCAGAAATGGCTGAGAAACGTCGAAACAGCTTTGTCAGCCACTGATCTAACCACAACTGAAAAAATTAAAGCTTATGGTGAGAAGTTACAAATCTTCCACAACGAGGTAGAAGGGATCGAAGATCTGTTCAAGAGTATCAGCAAGAAGTTTCAAACGCTTATTCAAGATTTGTCTCGTGACGAAGTGGATAAGATGATGAATACTTTGAAGAAAGAGAAAGAAGCTCTGGTCAAAGTACGAGCTTTGATACCGATGCAATTGCATTTGTATCATCAACTTTTGGTCCAGCAAGAGTCTCTAGAAGCTGGTCAGAAGGAAATAGCTGCCTGGTTGGACGAAGCAGAGAGAATGTTGACCAATATCGATCTGTCACGTGGTAGGGAACATATTCTGGCACAGTTAGATCGTCACAAAGCTTTCTTTTCGAGAACTTTGTATTACAAATCTATGCTAGAGTCTAAGAACAAAGTATTCACTAGTATAGTAAAGTCTGTGGACAGTCACGCTGACGTAGCCACCGCAGAAGGTGGAAGAACATTGAGAGAATTGAATGAACGATTCAACAGAGTTTCCCAAGCGGCTCAAGCCTTGGAACAACGACTTCAGGAAGCTGTCAGATGCTGGACCAAATTCAAAGAGTGCGAGAGACAAGTCTGCGAATGGCTATCAGTCGCAGAAACCATGATGAATGATAAACATACCGATAATAGACGATCTATAGAATATCATAAGAATTTCTTCAGCAATGTTAACGAGAAATGGATTCAAGACTTCGTAAACGCTGGACAGGATTTGAAAAGTATTTTGCCTGTCGAACAGCAAGCTCCTATTTCAGAAGCTGTAGAATCGCTTCAGAAACGTTGGAAGGAGGTATTAACTTTCGCTCCTCTTCATTTGATGAGACTTGAGTTCCGTCTGGATGAAGCTACGTTCTTACAATATCTGAAAGAGATTGAAGTAGAAGTGAATTCAGAGCAGCAGGCTCTAATGAAGAACGACAATGTGGAGAACATACTGCAAAGGAACAAGGAATTTTTCGTGAATCGTGGCACTGTACTCGAGGTGGAGAAGTGCCTGCAGACTCTGAAGAAGATCAGTGATGCATATAGTCAATTGAAACCTAACGATACCAGCTTGGCTGAAGCCGCACAACACGCTGAAAATCTGTGGGAGGATTCTGCTCAGAGAGTGGAACGTTTGAGGGAACAACTGAAGCAAGTGCCTGAGCAATGGGCTGCTTATAAGAAGAAGTGAGTATTATAAAGATAGAATTTTTTGTTTCAAATCAAATTTTCTTATTTTTTCGTCAATTTCTATTCATATGAATTATCATCTCAGATTCGACGAAATGGTACGATGGATGGACCATGTGGACAGTAATTTGAGAACCATATTGCACGAGGTGAACACTTTAGAGGAATTCGAGACAGAGAAAACGATATTCCAGGTAAGAAATATTTTCATTCACATTTTTAAAGAATATCTCGAATTTTCAAATAAGTCATTATTACGAATCATTATTGATTTAAAACATTTATTTCTTCATCATGCGCATTTAAATATTTCTTTTACATTCTTTCCTTGCATCGCTCACACTGGATAGGTTCAAGTTTTAACGGTAAATATAATCACGCACGTTTCACGATAGAAATTCGATAAGGAGGCTCATCTTACAATAATTCATAAAAAAGAAAAAGTATATATTGTATTACAACTTTCTCTTTACTGTTCTGTAGAAAATATGCAGAGAAGCAGACAGCAAGCGCGAAGAAATGAAATGGTTGGTCCAAACTCTCGACAGCCTGACTTCCAATCGTTCTGATCATGAAGCTCTTTCAGAGCAAAATCGTTTAGAACAGTTGATCACTCGTTACAAGAATCTGATACCAACAATAGAGATTACCATGACGAAAACTGATATTTATTCAAAGAGTTACACTTATAGAAAGGAAGTTCGTGAAGTGTGCACTCTTTTGCACAAAGTCAAAGATCAATCTAAGATAGATGTAGTAGCAGAAAGTCCAGAAACTTTGAAGACCGCAGTCACTCATCAAGAGAGCCGTCTTAGTCAGCTAGAACAACAGAGATCAAATATCGTGAGCATGCTACAACGTGGTAAGGATCTTTTGAAAGATCAACACGCTCCTCCATTCGTGTCCTTGGAGGTACAGCAATTAGAATCCAGCTGGAATGACACGTATGGACAAAGCGTAGAGACCTTGAAGTCTTTGAAGAGTTCGCAAAAGTTGTGGAACACTTATCTGCAGCAAAAAGAGGAGATTTTGAAATTGATCGAACAAGCTGAAGAAGAATTAAGAAAAATCGAATCGACTACTTATTACGATGCTTCACAAGTATCATCCGATCTGCAGAGCAAACAAGATTTCAGTTCCACTTTGAGAAAATCTGCCGAGGAGTTGCTGAAAAAGTTGCAAGAGACGTATAGCCATTTGACAGAGGTCGCAGCACCGGAAAAGAAAGAAGTGTTGAAAAAAGAGATCATTCATACCGAGAAGAGAATGGAGACCACTTTGAAAACTGTCCAAGAGAAAGTGGTTTATCTACAGGAGCACAGTACCAGATGGAATAAATTCCAAACAAAATTGAACGAATTGCAATTGTGGACTCAACAGAGTGCTCCGCAATCAATTGCAGATACTGAGAATTTGGCAACAACTCCTGAAGAGATGGTCTACAGAACTGAGAGTTTACAGAAGGAAATTATAGAAAGAACTAGAACATTGAAATTCCTCGAAGAGGAATCTCAAAAACTCGTAAAAGGTATGATAGTCTGACATTTCTGTAAATTTTCTATTTATTTTCAAAATTATAAATAATTTTCTCGCATTTCCAGGTGGTGTTGATAGTCTTCCAGCGAAGCAGTTGCGCAGTGATATCATAACACTCGAAAGAAGCATCGAAACCCTTCAAAAGAGCATCGTAGCTCAACGTCAAACAGCTGAACAAAATTTACAAACCTGGAAGGAGTACGAGAAAGGTATTCAAGAGATAAAACCTTGGATCGAAGAAGCAGAATCAAAAGCAGCTACTATAGGCAGCAAACCAACCACTCTAGCTCAGGCAGCTCACATGTTGGAAACAGCCAGAGCATTTGAAATACGATGCCAACAACATTTTCCTCAGATTCAAGATCTATCTTTGATCAGTCAACGAATAACAGGAAAGACATCAGCTTCCGACGAAGTGGATGCCGTTCATACTCGTTGGAACGCTGTGCACGACATAGCAGTTCAAACGACCACGAAATTGGACAAGTTGGTTACTTCGTGGAACAGCTTCGAATCTGAGATAAAAGAATTCAACGAATGGTTGGAAAGATCCGAGAGAACGGTACTCATGGAACCAAATGCCGAGACACCCGAAATATCAGTGCTAGAAAAGGAACTGGCACGGTTGAAGGATTTCAACAAGACTATATCTGATCATCAGGCGCAATTGATATCGCTAACTCAGGTTTCTGATCACATCAGCCACGGATTATCCTTGGAAGGAGCGACTAATTTGAAGGCTCGAGTCTCGGACATTAAAGCCAGAGTCAGCAAGCTGGCCGACACGGTTAGATTGCAGATCAACCGTGTGTCCGACTCGTTGTTAGCTCGCCAAGAATTTCAAATGAAAATCACCGATTTCGAGAACTGGATGTCGCGATTGAGATCCAATATCGCTGAGATCAGCGATGCTACTGTCGATACGGTTGACACGAATCTTCAAGCCGTGCACGCATATATCCAAGAACATTCTGAAAAGCAGCCAAGCTTGGAAGCTATCTGTCAAGAGGTGAAGGATATATGTCCCAAAGGATCTATGCAGGCGACGGTTGCCTTGGTTGATACTTATACCAATCTGGAGAAAAAGTACAAGGCTCTGGGAGATGATTTGCAACAGAAAAAGAAAGGATTAGAGAAGTGGATAGAGCTATTGAGTTGGTTGAACGATGCCAATGCTCAATTGAGCCATTGTAAGTACGAAGCTGAAGCTAGAAAGCCTACCATCGCTGATTTGGAGAGATTTTCGTCCGAATTACGGATTATTTATGACAAGATTGAAACGTGGAAACAACATGTTTTGCCTGACAGCGCTATTGGAATACAAATTAGGGACAAACAGGGAAAACCTCTTTCTGCGTCAGGTTTGTTGATCGACTTGGAGAATAAAGCATTGTCTCTGCAAAATGAAATATCAGCGAAACGCGATAGACTGGAAAATCTTGGTGCCAGATGGAACAACTTCAGAACATTGCAGCAAACTATCACTGAGAAGATATTGAATACGCAAACTGCTCTTCAAGAAACGGTTTATAATGTTGATTCATGCAAACAATTAGCTCCTGCTGTGGAAAAGATCGATCAATTAATCGAAGAACATCAGAAGAGGGAACAAGAGAAAGAGATCCTCCACTTTGAAGGTACTTCCTTGATGAAAGAGGATCAAAGATCGACGACTAATATTCAAGTAGTTCTATCCTCTGTCGATGCTAATTGGGAGAAGGTGAACGAGCTTCTTCGAGAACAGAGGAAGAAATATGCTGATATGAATACAGACTGGAAAGATTACGAAGAAGCCAGACAAAAGGTGGAGAAATCTATCAAAGATGCAATTAATTTGTGTCAATCGGTGAAAGGAATATCTTATGATATCACTCAAGCGAATATTACTTTAGAAAAGCATAAGAAAGCTTTGGATGCGCTGAAGAAAGGCAGACATTTCTTGGATAAAATGGATTCGAAAGCACAGCAATTGACGAAAGAAGCATCCCTCATGCCTAGATTCAATTCTGAATTAATCGAAAATGATTTGACAGAAGTTCGACAACGATACCAAGATACTTACAACGATATCAGTGAGAAATTGCAAGCCTATGAGACTCAGGTGATCATTTGGAAACAGATAGAAGAATCGAAGTCTGAACTCATCAAATGGCTCACTAATACAAACGAAGCGTTGACCACTGCATTCGAACGTTTAATGGATGCTGAGAACTGTCAAGTAAGATTGATAAGATACAGAGAGGAGTTGCCTGGTTATCAGCAAGTGTATCAAAATATCGTGACGAAAATAGAACAACTTGTAAAATTGAACAACAATTCTGACATCCCTACTCTGAATTCCTTGCATCAGTTATTAGACGACCAATTCAATGTGGTTAAAACTTCAGCGGAAAAATTAGAATCTTTAACATCTACTTTGAACGAGAGAGAAAGGACAATTAGACAGGAAATGAAGCGATGTGGTGATTTGATCTCGAAGATCAGAGAAGATATAATCAAGTGTGACGATTTGACTGGTGAGAACACTAAGATTCTTGGTCGTATCAACAAATGTCAGGAGCTGAAAACAGAATTAGAGCAATGTGACTATACTTTGTCCAAAGTTGAAGAAACATTGACGAAGATTTCTACAGAGTATCCTAGTATCTCCAGATCGAGTTTGCCAAAGGAATTGCAAGCGCTTCAGCTTCGAAGAGACGGCGTGGCCAATCATGCTAACAAAGTGATAGCAACACTGGTAGCATTCTTGACTAAATTATATCACGAAAAATTTGGAGCTCTTCAACGTATGGTTGTAACGCTCAAAGAGAAAGTAGCTTGGTGTGAACCTGAGCAAAGCAGTGATCGTTACAACTTGGAGGTAAAAATGGCTTCGTTGATGGACGTAGAAATTGGAATCGCCGATTGCATAGCTAGAAAAGAGGACACTGACAACTCCTTAAAGCTTCTAGCATCCGTAGAAAGTGCCGAAACTATGGCCGCCTTGAAGTCAGATCGTGACAAAGTTGAAGTCGACTTGGAATCATTGAAGAGCAGTTATAATAAAATTAAGAATGATCTCGAACGAAATATCGCTCTGTGGCAACGTTATGAGCTCACTTCCGAGAATGTGCTGTCCTGGCTGAAAGAGAATGAGAATAAAATCAGAGCAGAGGCTTCCGCGTTGCTCAATTTGGATGACATCGAGCAGAAAATCGCAGAGATGACCGAAATGCAGAAAAGTGTGATGGAATATCAAAGCGAACTGAAAGATTTGACTGTTTTGGCCGAAGATATCACCAGGGTTAGCTCCGAATCAAGAGTAAATCAATACATCAGTCACTTGAACACGCGTTACGATTACGTGTTAAAGTTTTTGGCCCAACATTTGGACAGACTTCGAGAATTGAAGGAGAACAGAGATCAATATGTGGCTAACAAGAAGAAACTCGAAGCTTGGATCGAGAATGCAGAGAAAACATTGAAAGCCTACGATGAAATCACTGGTCCAAAACCTATAACTTTCTACCAATCACGTTTGAAAGAATTGAAAGCATTTGCCGAGGAACGAGAAGTTGGACAAGCTATATTGAACAAGACAGCGGAAGCTGGCGAAGCTTTGTTTGCTAGAATTACACCAGATCAGAGAGAAATGATAAGGACGGAATTGAGAAACTTCCGTAATCGTGTGGATGCAATGGCGGATCGTTCTAACGTGATTTATAAAAAAATAGAGAGCGATATGATGCACAGATCTTCCTTCGAAGACAAATTCTCTCAAGTGAAACAGTGGTTAGCAGATGCTCAAAATAAATTAGGAGAAAAGCAAGATTTACTGCCAACGTTACAAGAAAAGAAGCTAGCTCTTCATTTGTACAGAGCCGTGGCACAGGACGTTACTGTTCACAAGAATATTCTTCAACAACTTCAAGATAGATTAAGTACAGCACCAGACGATGATGCGAGTGAAATGTTAGGCAACGTGATCGAGGCTTATGAAAAACTGTCCAACGAAGTCGAAGGGCGAATTAATATAGCGGAGAAACACGTTTCGAATCACGAGGCTTATCTTCAAACGTTTGAGAAGACTCGAGATTGGATCAACACGGTGATCAACGAAGGAACGCCGATAGTCGAGGATTTTTCAGTGGAACGAGAAACAGCGCAAAGTAAAATCACCACCATCGAGAATCTTTTGCAACAGAAAGCGGAAGGGGACCGAATCTTGGCTGATTGTAACCAGCAATTGAATATTGTCTTGGAACAAACCTTTATGCCAGGTCATCCAGCTTTGTTGTCCAATTTTGAGCAACAAAAGAAAATGTGGGAAGATTTCTTGAAGCGATGCGTGGCAGCTAGAGACAAATTGAAACATATGTTCAATCAATGGTCCGAGTTTGAGAAGATCGTAGAAGGTTTGGAGGCCTGGATCAAGCAGATGGAGACCCAGTTGAAGGATCAAAGTTTGAAGAGTACGGAAGAAGCAAAGAGAGCTCATTTGCAGAAGTTGAAGTCCTTGGAAGAAAGTATCATCGCGAAAGGAGCTGAATTTAATGCCGCCATTGAGAAGAGCCAGAGCATCGAAGCTGAGGCAGACCTAGTCACAAGAGTCTCGAGACAAACCACTAAATATCAAGCTATTAAAAATCAAATAAAGGAAGCTGTAATGCGATACGAACAATTTGTGAAAGAGCACAACACTTTCAACGTGAAATATAATCAATTATTGCAATGGATCACGGATATTAAATCGGAATTGAAGAAACACAGTGAGATCGTGGGTGATTTATCCGTATTGCAGAGCAGACAGAAGCTCATTCGAGATTTGGGCGATACTAGAACGAAGGAGAACGCTAGATTCGAATCTGTCATAGATCTTGGAGAGAAATTATACGTTCATACGTCGCCTGACGGTAGAGAAATCATCAGACAACAATTGAGAAATTTGAGAACCTTGTGGGATGGATTCACCGAAGATCTACAGAACACTATGCAAAAATTAGACCAATGTCTGATGCAATTCGCCGAATTCTCTTTATCTCACGAGCAATTGACAGCTTGGCTTCGAGACGTGGAACGCGCGATGCATCAACACACAGAATTGAAATGTACTTTGGAGGAGAAACGAGCACAGTTGCAGAATCACAAAATTATGCACCAAGAAATCATGTCTCATCAATCTTTGGTAGAGTCTGTTTGCGACAAGGCGCAACAGTTGGTAGATCAGACCAAGGATACTTCTTTGAACGTCTTTCTACCATCTATTAAGCAATTATTCCACAACATTGTGGCAAAATCAAAGGATTTGTTAGAAAACTTGGATGATTGCGTAGAGAAACATCATAGATTTAATTTACAAGTGAAAAGCTTTTCTGATTGGTTGAATGGCGAGAAAGATAAGCTTGCTGAATGCAACGATATGACTGGAGAAAGAACGGATATTTGCAGAAGACTTGCCACTTTGGCCATATTGAAGGATGATCAGATGCAGGGTGCTGAGCAGCTTGGAAAATTAAAGGAACTTAGCGACACGGTTATTAAGAGAACCGCGCCGAAAGGATGGGATGCTATTAATAAGGAGATCACTATTTTGGAAGGCAATCTTCGTCAATATCTAAGTGAAATAGGTAAAAAAAAATCGTTAAATTATTTTTTTTTAATATTTAATACTATTTAATACTCTAATTTTTCTTAATCTTCTCTTTTTCTATATAGAATCAGTGGAAGATAAGCAAAAAACAGCATTGCAGAAATGGCAAGACTTCGAAGATAAATTGGAAACGCACACAAAATGGTTCTCAACGATGGAAGCTGCATTCAGAGACCAACAGTTGCAGCCTACTTTGCAAGACAAGGAAGCTCGTTTGCAAGCATTGAAAGAGAAACGTGATGCCATATTAAAGGAAGAATCGAAGATAGACGAGTTCATTGATAAGTCTCATAGTTTGCTTCATGCAAGTGGGGTTGAGCGTATCAAGCCTTTGATCTCCCAAATAAGCAATAGGTAAATTTGCTCATTATTCAGACATTTAATAAAATCATTGAGAAATTTTAAATTTTAAAATTCATTTTAAATTTAATTTTTTCTCTCAAAAATTTCAGATATCAGTTATTGCACGTGCTTAGTAAAGAAGTAGTGACTAGATGTCAAAGTGTTGTGGACGATCATAGAACGTATGAAGAGAAACTAAAGGTCGTAGATGCTTGGCTGACTCAATTAGAACAGAGTTTAGCCAATTTGAAGAAAGACGAGACAGGTGGAAATCTGGAAGAGAAAGTATCTCGTCTGCAGATATTGTTGGCTGAAAAGGAACAAGGTGAACACAGATTAGGAAGTTTGATATCATTTGGAGAAAGGATTCTTGCTGATACATCGGCTCAAGGAAGAGAAATTATTCGCCATGAGTTGAGACAAGCTCGAGAACGATGGGATAAACTTGTGGAAGGCATAGCCGAGCAACAGAAGAAGCAAGATGCTCAATCTTTGCAATGGACCAATTATCAAGAGACTCTGCAACAAATTTTGACCTGGTTGGATACTATGGAAAGATCAGTGAAACAGGACTCGACGATCACTTGGTCTTCTCTTCAAGAAATTAAATCCAAATTACTGAAAAGCAAGGTAAGTATGATTCTGATAATGAAAAATTCTTAAAGAAATAATATTAAAAATATTTTCAATATTTTAAATAACGAAATATTATTTTCTTTTATAGGGAATGCATCAAGAAATTTTGGCTTATAAACGTATCATTGAAGGCGTTTCAGAAAAAGCAAATGCACTATCGTACACATCTCAAGCACCATCAGACGCTCAACAAAAAGCTGCTTCGGTTTCTGGAAGATACGAGGATTTGGTCGAAATGTCACAGAAAAATATATCCAATTTGGAAACTCTTCTAGATACTTTCCAGCAATTCTACGATCTACAAAAATCTTATCAAGATTATCAGAAGCAACAATGGGAGCAATTAGCCAATTACAGCGACTATACTGGCAACAAAGCTGCCTTACAAATTCAATTGACTAAAATCATGGAGCTTCAAGATGGCCAGAGGGAAGGAGAATTGAAATTAGATATTCTCAGTGAACACGTGTCTCAGAGTGCTCATAATTTATCACCCAGATCATTAGAATCTATGGAAAGAGACTTGGCTACGTTAAGGTAAGATTTATCTTGAATTATATTCGAATTAAAATGAAATAAAGAAAATTTTTCTAATTAAATTAATTTATATATAACAGATTCGAGCACAAAAAGTTCGCCACAGCTGTAAACGATATTATTCGATGCATCGAAGAGAGAATTCAACAATGGAGCGAATACGAGAACTCTTTAGAACGTTTATTAGCTTGGTTGACGGATGCAGAATCGTCTTTGAAGAATTATTCTCTGAAGAACACTCTCGATGAGAAGCAAGAGCAACTTGAAAAGTATCAGGTAATATATAGAATATTTAAAGATTATATTAACATCATGTGTTTTACAATATATGTCATATGTTTCAAAAGCGAATTATTACACGTTTCGTTAAAAAATTAATTTTTTTTAAAACACTATGAACACATTTTTTTAAATAATCGCATTTCACGCGAAGCGAAGTTTTTTTCTTTCATTTTTAATCAAGAAGAGGAAAAGATACGAAAGAGATGAAATGGTATAACGATAGTTCAGACATTGTATCTTGGAAAACTTTCTTAGGCACTACAAAAAACCGCCTTGTCGTGGGACACGGAAGTGACGGAACTGGTGGCCCTAGGAGACCACCTGGATCAAGTAAGAGAAACATGGAAAAAATATATTCGAACAGGATTGTGAACGCTTTTGTAAATTGGTCTATCTCTTTTTTTCTCTTTTTTCTTTTTCTTCTTTTATCTTTATTCTATCATTTTCATCTTTATATTCTAAATGTTTTTTGACCTTTTTCTCTCTTTCCTTTTCTTCTCTCTATATTTCAAAACGAATTGAAATATTTAGTGTGATTTAAATTCGATGATGTATCAAAGATTATTTTATACATATCGGTAAGTTTCATCAACTCGATACACTATACACTTATGTCTTCATACTATGATACTTACTTTTTTTTCCGACGTGTTATTGTTTTTTTTTTTTCTTAACATATGATTTTGCATAATTCTTTTTTTTATCTCGTGTTTTTTCTTCGATGCATGTAAACGTGTTGTTTCGAGCACGCTTAATCGAAGAATCATGTTTCCAAACTCGTATATCGCGTTGTCATGGCAAGTGAAAAAATCCATGACTGATTGATTGAATTCGCATTAACTACATACACGAATACCGACAAATACATGCGTGTCCTATTGTTAACTCCATTACTATGAATTTAAGGTATTTTCAGAACGACAGAAAATTACCTAATCATACGACAATTTGATTAATTTGATTAGTATTATGAAAATAAAAACAAAGTATAAACAAACGATGTTTTCTGTATCAAATATTATGAAATTTTAATAATATTTCTATTTCTAGATGTTGATCGTGAATCTACGGCAAAATGAGGCAGAATTCGATAAGATGAGCGACGAATCTTCCGAACTGATGCAGATTAGCGGTGAAACAAGATTTTCTGCTAGTGTTCAACAAATCACTTCTCGGTTCCAATCTATTCAAGCAACTGCTAAAGTAAATATCAGAAATGTCATTTTTGTTTCTTCATCTTTTACATCTCGTATAATCATTTAGTTCATACAATTATTTCGAACATTTTTCTTCTCACAATTATACCTTTCATCGTATATAAAAGTTAATATCTGAAAACTCGTTTGAACCATAGGAATTAGTTAAAAAATGTGAACAAGCAGTGGCGGATCACGCAGCCTATCTTGAACGTTACAAACAATGTTCCGAATGGCTGGCAAATACACGAACTACTTATCAATCAATCAAGGATGACTTTAGCGGTACTCGCCAAGAATTAACTTCGAACGTGGCAACCTTAAAAGATCTTCTAACTCGACAATCTTCGGCAACTCTTTTGATCAATAATACCGTCGAAGCTGGAGAACGTTTGTATCCTACCACAGGCATGGAAGGCAGAGAAATCGTCCGCCAACAATTATTAGACCTCCAACGAGCTTTCGAGGAGCTCTACGACAGCATTGCCTCCACTGAACGAGAGTTGCAATCGAAGATATCTCGTTGGTCCGGTTTCGACGAGTCCAACGAATCGTTCGACAAGTGGCTGAGAACTGTCGAGACTCAATTGAAACCAGAAATCGAGTTGAAAACCACGTTGGACGAGAAACGAGCCCAATTACAAATTTATCGTTCCTTTTTGCACGATATCCAATCTCATCAACAAGATCTACTCGATCTTCGAGACAAGGCTGACAATTTGCCGGATTCCACGGACAAGGTGCATCTGACGCTGAAGAAATTGAGCGAGAGACACGCAACCGTGTTGAAACGTGCGGCTGCTTTCGTCGAAAGATATGAAGGCATCGTTAGTGATCATCAACAGTACAGCAAGGCTGTTCTGGATACCCACGAGTGGATAGATGCGACTCACAATGCGGTTATTCTTTGGGGTGACACGGAACTCGAACGTGTGTCTCTTCATACTAATCTGGACAGATTGAGGAACTTATTGCAGGGTTTACCAGAGGATAAACCAAGAGTGCAACAGATAAGAACACTAGGCGAGAAAGTGATTCCAGGCACGTTGGAGTCTGGACAGATAAACATTCGATCTCAGATCGATTCCTCGCAGCAAGAGTGGGAAAGTCTGGTCACTGCGGTGAAGTCTACTATAGAAACACTGGAGAATAAGCTTCAACAATGGAACGAGTTCGAAACGTCGAAAGAACGTTGTTTGGCTTGGATGAGAGAAACTGACACCAAGCTTCATGCGGTGGACTTGAAGGCTACCTTGCAAGAGAAGAAAGATCAATTGGAACTTTTGAGAACTCTTCAGGGACAGGTGCGTGCGAAAGAATTGGAGATAGACGCTGTTACCGAGAAGGCTCAACAGCTTCATAAGAATATCACGTCTCGTACCACTCATATGTCGGAATTGAGCATCAAGTATCAACAAATATCGAACAAAGTGAAAGATTTGAACAGTCGTTGGCATCAATATGTGACTACTCATCAAGAATTCGATAATCAAGTGGCAGAGTGTACTAGATGGTTAGACGACATTAGGAAGAAGTTGGCCTATTGCTCTGACTTAGGTGCATCCTCTCAGAAAGATTTGGAGAACAAGATGGAGATAGTGCAAGACTTATTATTGTACAAGGAAGATGGGTTCGCCAAGGTACAAGGTATTGTGGAATTAGCTCAGGCAGTCTTGGCAAACACGGCTCCAACTGGACACAAAGCTATCAACGATGCTGTTGGAAAGCTGCAAGAGCAATGGAGTGCTCTGGCCTCGAAGATGTTGGAGACTAAAACTAATTTGGATGACTCTATCAATAAATGGGCTGGTCTTCTAGAACAGATACAATCGATGAATAAGACGGTGGATTACATGCAGTCTGCTTTGAACGAGTTCATGCCTTTCCAAACTACCATGTCTGAGAAGAGATGTCAACTGGAACGTATCAAGGCTTTAGAAGAGAAAGTTCGATGTGAGAATATTGAAGTCGATAGTCTGAAGATCAAGGTCGCTGAGATGATCGCCAGTGGACCTCAAGGGTTAGCTGCATCACAGGCACAGAGCATTTTGAACAGATTCGATACGTTGTTTGAAAAAATCAAGTCTTTACTGACCGAACGTGAAGAACAGTACAAGGATCATAGATTATACAAGGAGGCGCACGATGATATTATTAATTGGTTGAGTCGAGCTCGCGAGAAGATTCCATCTATGAAGCAAAGACCTTTAAGCGATAAATTGGCTATCGAAAACGCTGTGGCTCCACTGGAGAGTTTGTTGAACAAGAAAGCTCAAGGAGAATTGTTGGTGGAACATCTTCAGCATACTGGGAAGGTTGTATGCGCGAGCACGAGTCCTCAAGGTCAGGAAATTATAAAGAACGAGGTGAAAGCTTTGACTCAGAGTTTCGAGGAACTTTTCAGAGGTAAGTGATTTCAGTGTTTTTCTTTTTAATTTGTTAAATAATATATAATTTATTTTTCTCTCTCTCTCGTTTATTTCACAGAAATCAAGCAACAAAAGGATCAATTAGAACAAACGGTGAGCCAATGGCGCGATTACAAGGACGAGTACGAAAGATTAAGCGATTGGTTGCAGCAATTTGATATTCTCATAAAGGCGCAAAAGAATTCTCTATTACCAAATGTAGCTGAGAAGGAAAAACAGGTGCAAGAAGTGAAAGAGATATTGGAGAATTTGCTGAAAGGACAGGAACAAATCGATAAATTCAACAAGACAGCGTCCAGTCTACTTTCGTCTCACTTGGACACCTATATAAATAACCAGCTTCGACACTTAAACTCGCGTTATCAGGTTCAAGTAAATCTTGCCAAAGATGTTCTCAACAAAGTCGAAACCAATCTAGCTCAGCACAAAGAATACGAAGCTAATTTGGAAAAGACACGTGCCTGGATCGAGAACGCGAAACAGATTATTCGAAAGGGGACAGAAGCAGCGTCGACTAGCAGCAGAGAAGAATTGCAGAACAGATTGGACAATATCCAAGAGTTGTTGAGGAAACGGGAAGAGGGTCAGAACTTGGTCCATCTGACGGTGAATTGTGGCGAGAAAGTGATGAGAAACACTCGGTCGGACGGGCGAGAAGAGATCAATGCTCAATTGAAAGAGATCCAAAATGATTGGGAGAGATTGGTGAAGAAGATCTCGACGACGAAAGTGCGTTTGGAAACGAGTCTTCTTCAATGGGCTGATTACAGCTCGTCTTATCTGCAATTACAGCAATGGATCAATGATAGAGAAGCTAAATTGCAACAAGTCTGCGAACAGAAGGTATCTAAGGCTAGAAAGGGTCTGGCTGGATTGAGTTCCTTGGCTATCGGAGAAAGGAAGGCGAATCTCAGGCAAACGAACAGCATCGTTCAAGATATAGTGGCGTTCGAACCGATGATTCAATCGGTTACAACGAAGGCCGAGGATCTTCGACAGGCCACACCAGCCACGGAAATTTCAATCAAATATGAAACATTGAGTAAACAAGCTCAGGAATTGTATGCCAAACAGAAGGAGACTGTAGAGCAACATCAAGCATTTATAGACAGTGGAAATGAATTTATACAGTGGATAAGAGCTGCCAAGGAGAGGCTTGGTAAATGTTCCGAGCCTACTGGAGATAAGGAATCGTTGGCGAACAAGATCACTCAATTGAAGGTACTGCAAAGTGAGCTGCCAGAGGGTCAGAAGAAATTGCAACACGCCTTGGAGCAAGGAAACGCGGCATGCCAGATCGCGGATGAGGAGGACAAAGAGATTATTGAAGAGGAAGTGGCGTTGTTGCAAGAAGAGTACGATAGCTATGTGTAAGTATGATTAATGACGAAGATACAAGTTAAGGAATGAAGGAATACTTTAATATATACTGATGATTTATATTTTTTTTACAGAGACTCCCTGAACAACACCAAGAGTTTGTTGGAGGTAGGAATAGTGAAATGGACGGAGTACGAAGATCAATTCTCAGAAGCTACCGAATGGCTCACGCAGACGGAACAGTTGGTGCAATCGTTCAACAAACTTCAGGATAGTTTGGAAGAGAAGAAGAATGTTCTCGAACAGTTCCAGATCCACTTACAGACTTTGTTCGACTGGCAGAAGGAATTAGATCGATTGAATATGAAAGCTCAGATGTTGCTGGAAACTTGTGCGGATACTAGAATTTCTAACGCTATTACTCAATTGACAACCAAGTATAATGCTCTTCTATCTTTGGCCAAAGAAATAATGAGACGTCTCGAGTTACATTATCAGGTACATTTTATTTTCCATATTTTATCACTTTGTTTTAGATTAAGACTCGAATTTCACATTTTATTTCATGGTATAAAATCTCATATACGTTTTACTTTTCTCATATTCAGGAACATCAACAACATAATACGTTGTATCAAGAATGTCAAGATTGGATAGAACGAACACGTGACAAATTGAGCGAGTGTAAGGAACTTCCAAGCACTTTAACCGAGGTGAACAATAAATTGCACACTTGCAAAGCCATCAGACAAACACTGGAACAAGGCCAGAACAAGCTGCGTTATGCTCTCGAACTGAAAGAAAAAGTGATCATGAACACGGAACAAAATGGCGCCGCAAAGATTCAAGAGGATACAGAGAATCTGAAGACGGAGTTTGAGAGATTATTAGTGAACGTGGAAGACATAAGACAGAAGCTTTCAGCTAGAGCAAGCGCATTGGAGGAATTGAACAAAATTCACCGATTGACTACAGATTGGATCGAAGAGATCGAGGGTAAAATTCAACCAGGTGAAATGTACAAGAACGATCTGAGCGAAAAACGAGCGGTATTGGAGAAGTATAAGACAGTTCAGAGGGATATTCAAGGTCATGGTGAAACCGTAGACCGATTGAAAGCTCGTTTGGCTGAAGATTCCAGTATACCTATTGGTCCTTATCAATCCACTATTGCCAAGTACGATGAATTGACTAAATTGATCGCTGAAAAGATTAAGGTACGTATCCTCTATATAAATACAGGAATTAAAGAAAGAAGTGAAATAAAAATGGTTCTCATCGGTTTTTTTAAATATTTATATTTCCATATTTTTAGAATTTGGAAGAACAAGTGAACGATCACGAAAAGTTCCAACAAGCTCACAACGAAGCAGCGGACTGGGTTCGCCATACAAAGCTGGAACTTCAACAAAACTGCGACACTCATGGGGAGAAGGAGCGAATCATCGAACGAGAGAACAAAGTGAACCAGATCATAGCTTCCCTTCCCAAAGGAGAGAGTTTGATCTCGAAGGTGATCCAACTCAGCGATGGTGTGATCGCTAGTACAGGTCCAGAAGGTCAGGAAACCATCAAACAGGACATGAAACAACTGCAAGCAAACTGGAAATCTCTACAATCTCAGTGTCACGAGTCCCAGAAGACTTTGTTCAATTGTATCGCCAGTTGGTCTCAATTTACAACTGCTTTAGACAGTATGAAGAGATGGATAGATCATTTCCAGAAGAAGGTGAACGACGAACAATCGAAAGAGAACAAAACTCCGGAGGACTTGGTCCGGTGCAAAAGCCTCGTGGAGGAAGCTATCCAACAGAAACCAGTTTTGGAGGATCTGAACGACAAATGCGAGGCCTTGCTGGAGCTGAGCGCTTGCAGCTGGGCTCGTGACAAGACTGTGCAATTGCAATCTGCTTACACGTCTCTGTTGACCGATATGCAAGGTCTTGTTTCTCGAGTGGAGAAGAATCTGTCCGATCATACCGAGTTCTTGAAGGCGAAGAAGGAAATGGAAGATTGGTTGCGCATTGCTCGAGGCTCGGTACAAGATTGTATGGGCGTTGGAGATGCTGAATGGGCTAAGGATAAGTTGGAAACTATCAAGGTATGCAATTAATAGATTATGAATTTTTATTCAAGTAAAGTATGTTAGTACATTCGATTAAAAAAAATATATATAAAGAAACTAAAAATTTTTTATCAAAACCAACTTAAAACATGAAAGAAACTGTGTTAAATTAAAGTCACTTTTTGTTTTATTTGATTGATTATTAAGGATTCAAAGTATTTAAGATAAAAACTTGTTTAACGCAGAAATTATGAATGGGTCTGCGATTCAGGCTTACATTTTTTCCTGGAAATGCGTTCTAGGCTTTCAGGAATCGCGAGAGAATTCTTAAAAGATTAGGATTAATTATAGCTTTTTTAAAGAAATCATTTGATTTTTTTGTCATAGATCGTAGCAACAAGAATTACCGAGGGTCAACATTTATTGTCAACATTGCAAACTGCCTTCACGAAAGCCATAGACACAGCTGTACCAGAGCAACAGGATCAACTGAGATCAGACATGGCGGGACTCCTTTCCAGCTGGGAACAGCTCAGCATCGATTTGAACACCGTTCAAGCTCAACTTAAATCCCTGTTGCATCGCTGGGACGATCATTCAGAAGCTCATGGAAAATTGAAACGATGGTTGGAAGAAACGGAGAATAGTATGCAAGACCTTCCGGACACGAAAGGAGAATTCGGTGATATGAAGACCATGCTTGAACGTTATAAACACATCCAGGAGGAAGTACGCGGCAAGAAGACCGAGTTGGATCATTTAATGGACGAAGCTAGCGAATTGTCGAAACTGGCGAAGAAAAACACGTCTCTGGAACGAACGAAGGAACTGTTGAAACGATGGGAGAATTTGAGCGAAAACGTCGACGAGAGGAAGAGGTTGATCGAGAACGAGATGCAGGAATACAACGCGTATCACGCAGCCTTGCAAGAGACGGAGAAGTGGCTGTTGCAAATATCTTTCCAATTAATGGCTCACAATTCTCTCTACATCACGAACAAGGAGCAAACGGTGTCGCAAATTCAGCAGCATGAAAACCTGCTCGCGGAAATCGAGAATTATACGAGTGTCTTGAACGATTTAAAGTTGAAAGGGAATGGACAGATCACTCGATACGTCGCTGTCAATCCCGAAATTAAAACGATCATCGAAACGCAATTGCAAAATGTTCAAGAGAGCTACAACTCCTTGTTGAACACGGCATTGCAAATAAAGAAACGATTGGCGGAATCGTTGGTCAAATTCCAGGAGTACGAGAACACTCTGGAGAGTATTATGAAGAATTTGGACGCGTATGAACCGGAAATCGCTCAAGAAATGGAAGCGCCGTTGGATACTCTCGACGCAGCGAAACAGAGATTCGAAAATGCTCGCACGTTGCACAATAAATTGCAAGGGGAGAAGACAAGGCTTGCTCTGGCTGTCGAGGCTTGCGAGGCTGCAGTGGCATGTGTCTCCAGACCCGGAAGTCCTCTGGATGCGCCGCCTGTGCAGATTCCGGCTAGGGAAGTCGAAGTGAGAAACAAATTGGAGGAATTGATCGATCAGGTATTTAATTTGATATATTTATTGTTATTGTTTCATTCTTGTCGCTTTATCGATATTGATATACTCTAATATTCTTAAAATATGATTTTTAATTTTCCAACAATCCATGTTTAATTTAATTTAAGTGCGAGATGCGTGATGCATGAAATATTGAAAAATATCGTAAATTTCAATAGGCGCAGGGACACTTGATGAACGTAACCAAGGCTCTAAACGAGTTGGAAGAGCAAACCCGACAGAAGAACGTTCTCCGTGCGTGGATAAACCAGCAAAGGGCTCTGTGCGCCGAATGGAAATCTCGTCCAGCGAAATTGAGATCCGAAGCAGCTCTTGCCGAATTGCAAGCTATGAACGATCTGCTTGGAAACGTTGGAGAACGTCGAACTCACGCATTGACAGAGCTGTCTCTTCACGAGGACGATCAGGATATCGAGGAGGGATTGAACAAATTGGAAGCAGAGTTGACGGATGCCATCGCTGGGAAACAAGCGGCGCAGGATCTGATTCAGAAGTATAGGACACAGGTGCAGAACATGCAATCGTGGTTGGACACGTTGTCCAAAAAGGTGGACGTTATCGAGAAAGGGAACGGGCAGACGATTGGACAGAAGATAGCTAGCGTGAAAGAGATCACGACCGAGTTTGAGTCCCAAGGGCCCGGAAAATTGAACGAGGTGAAGACTTTGAGCGATCAGGTGATGGATTCGGTGAGCAATCTGGATTCTCAGCAAATAGAAGAGCAAATTAAATCGGTGGAGAGACGATACGCTGATATAGGGAAGAAACTGCAGAGGAAGGCGCAAGTGTTGGACATGACTGCTCAAGGTATTGAAGCTACGAGGCAGGAGATCGAAGAGAATAGAGATTGGATTCAGCAAAAGAAGAAGCAAGCTCAGATGTCCGAGCCTGTTGGATTTGACAGCAAGCAGGCAGAAGAAAGGCTTCTTGCTTTGAAGGTAATTAAATTATCCATAAATAAAATTCAAATGCAAATTATCTTTCACTTTCTTTATTTCCAATTTGTATTTTTTCCATTTGTTCTTTTTTTTTTTCTTTTAATTCATGAAAATTTTACTAATTTCATAATAAAAGAAGTAGGAACAATAGAGAAAAGAATATAAAGATTCAAAGTATTAGATTAAAATGGAGAGACAAAAGGGGATATTTATTTATTTTTTAGAAATATATCTACGATATGTACATTATTGAATTGCAGGCAATGTTGAAGGAAGCAGAGGGAAAACAAATGGTGATCGATACGTTGGAGAAACGAGTAGGAAACATGCAGAACGAATTAGAGTCGAACGAGCAACAACAATTGGAAAATGAAACGAAAGCTTTGCGTGGTGAACAATCCCAACTTTGCACGATTTTGACAGAGGGAATCTCTAGTGCCACGGCTGCGGCTGATGCCCGTCGTAAGTTCGAGGCTGATCTCGAACGAGCACGAAGCTGGATCAAATCGAAGAGCAACAATTTGAAGAAATTGAGCGGTTATCTCCCTCTAAAGGCGTCGAAAGTCGAGCAAGATATCGTGCAACACGGTGAATTGGAAACTGATATCGATTCGTTCAGCGAGAAAGACCTGAACGACATTTTGAAACAAGGAAACAATTTGCTGAAGGAGTGCAGCGAAGAGGATCGTGCCAGATTGAATAAGATCTTGGATGAATTGAACAAAGACTACGAGGAGCTGAAAAGTGAGGCACAAGAGAAACAAGCTGCGTTGGCGGATCTTCTTCAAGGGCGAAAGGCTTTCGAGAGTGAAATAGACAAGTGCCAGAGATGGATCAATGAAGCTGAAGTTGCTACATCTTCGGATCTGAGAACTTCCAGTATTGATATTCTAAGAGAGCAACTGGCTAAGGTAGGATATATCTGAATTATATATCAATTATTTAATATATTTTTTTCATTAATATTTTTACGAATATTTGTTTCAACCATCTTCCATTTGTTGCTCCAGTACGATCGTTTGAAGAAAGAGGCGAAGGAGTACGCAGATGATATCGAGAAATTAATGCAACAAGGAAAATCGATTCTTCCAACCGTGACCGATGCCGATAAGCTCGAATTAAACGAACAGTTGCAAAACATGAAGGAAGCTCACGGTAGAGTTGCTGGAATAATAAATGAAAGAGCCCTCGCCCTTCAAAAGAGCATCGACGAAGCCGAAGAATCATTGGCACGAGTAGCTGAAGCCATTCAATACATGACAGACGTTCAGAAAGAACTTCACGAGCTTAACAAACCTATTGGTTCACGCGTGGAAGACGTCGAGGCTATGTTGGATGCATACGAGAGAATATTGAACGATTTGAAGGCGAACAAGGCGAAATTGTCCGATTTACAGTCGATCAACGTGGCTGATCTTCATGGGGTATTAACTCAGCAAGATGATCTCATGAAAGCTATAGAGTCCCAAATTGCGAAACTTCGCCAGTTACTTTTGTTACGTCAACAATTCATCGCTTTGATCACAGAGATAACTACTTTCATAGCTAAATATACGGAGATCGTTCGAGATATCGAGAATTCTGGTCAAACAACGGAGGAAAAGATCAAAAGGTATTTATATTTTACGTTATCTTTTTAATTTATAAAAAGTTATTTAATTTATATAAAGTTAGATTAAATATCTAATTCTAATCTAAAGAAATATGAAAGATATAATTAAAAAATATATTTTGAAGAATTTTAATTAAGAGAGTATATATTAAAATACAAACGTATGTAATATTACATACAAGTATTATAATAATTCGTGTTCTTAATATACGTGTGCACTGTTGCATTGTTTTGTAAAAAAAATTTTTATTCGTGGAAAAGGAAAATTTTATTCACTATTCTTCATTTATTTTTAACATTTTTTAAAATCTAATTACAAAATTTGATGTATTTATTTTTTATATGTTTATTTTTTTCTTCTTATATATAAAAAAATATTTATAGAATATAAAAATATATATAATGTAAAATATAAAAAATAAAATTCACATCTGATATAAAAGCTTATAAATGTAAAATATATGTAGAATATATGATAAATGATAAAACGAGAATATTTACGAAATAAATATATAAATGATATATAAACATATAAAAATATACATAGAATTTAATATTATATGTAAAACATACGATACGTGTTATCTATATATTAGAAAAAGGAAGAAAATTCAATTTTTAATACCCGTGGCGCCATCTCGCGGATGGACGCTCGAAGCTCCGACTTGCTACCCGGGTTACAGAA